TACTTGTATATTTGTATATTTTGCATAGCAAAGAATGAAAAATTTAACTACTTTTGTTCTAAAAATAAGCATTTCTCTCTTATGTAAAATCTTTCAGTTTGCTTAAAAAGGACATATCAGCTCATCGCACATAAAATATTTCCAGTATGTTAAACGACTTAAAGTGGCAGGAAAAAATAAAAGAATAACACAATGGACCAGTCTAAAATCTTGGAAAAATTATAACTGAAATAACCTATGAAAATAAATGTCAATCATGAGATATTCCATATTTGGGCTTAAAGTTCTAGAGATTTCAAAAACAGAAATACAAAATAAGAGGCTTCAATATGTAATTCTCAATTCCCCCAACAGACAAGAAGCAATGGCTTTTGTGGAGAAAGACAGACTTTTACATACTATGAACTACTTTAATTTTGAGAATCTTATAATGAGATTAAATCTCTTTCCTTTGTTCACATCTAAAACATAAAGAAGAAAACCTGGAAAAAAGGAAACTTGAAAGTGTCCTTCAAAGAGGGGCTCAGGGCACATGCCTCTTTCAAAAGACCTGACCTTTAGTAAAAAGTTTAAAAAAGGACCTCCCACAGATACACTAATACCTGTGTGAAATACCAAACCTGGCAAAAAGAGGTAAAAAGTCCTATTTTCTTTCTTTCCTTTTTTTTTTATTTTTTATTATTTTTTTTGGAGAGGTTTTTGCTATAGGGCGCATGCGCTCGCCAGATAGACAGAGAGACAGAGAGACAGAAAGCGAGAAATCACCCCCCAGGGGGGATGGTCATGCTGTAATCCTTTCTCCTCCATTCTCCTCCTGGGATGGTGGTGATGGACGCACACATGCCCGGTGTGAGTTTTAAGCTACCAGGTCTGGGACACGAACTGCAGTCGACTACATGGGAGTCCAGCGACATAGCCATTACGCTAACTGCTAGTTCCCTTTCCTTTTTTTAAAGAGAGATTTATGCTATAGGGCGCATGCTTTTGCCAGAGATACAGAGAGGGATAGAGAGACAGAAGCTAGAAGTCACCCCCAGGAGGGATGGTCATGCCACAATCCCTTTCCCTCCAGTCTCTTGTCGGGGTTTTGCACAAGCAATCACACGTGCCCAGACTGAGTTTTAAGCCACCTGCTCTGGGACTTGAATGGAGGTCAACCACGTGGGAGTCCAATGACATGACCCTTATGCCACCTGCTGGTCCCAGGTCCTACTCTCATAACCAGTAGCAATGGTCTCTGAAAACAGCAGTGGTCTTTGAAGCCAATCCTTTAGGCAAGATTGTTCCTTGTATGTATGTCAACAATCTAAACTTACTCCCATTCACTTGAGAGAGAGAAAGATTTGCATCATCTCTGATAATCAGTTTTAAGCTTTAAACCCATCTCGAGGGGTCAGTGGGCAGTGTTTGGTTAAGGCACTAGACTCCCAGATTGCCTACCATGGTTTGAGTCCTGGACCCAGCAGCTTCAAACTCACACAGGGTATGTTTGAACGTGTGCTCAAAATCCTGAGAGGAGAATGGAGAAGGGACTGCAGCATGGCCAGCCCCCGAGAGGTGATTTCTCACTTTCTCTCTCTCTGTGTCTTCCTGGTAAGCACACAAGCCCTACGGCAAAACATATCTAAAAACATACAGAAAGAAAGCCCTCGCCAAGTGTTGTTCAGAAGTAAAATAATAAAAGGCAAACAAGATACACTTAAAGACATATAATAGAAATCATGTAGCCTGGTTCTTGCCAGTCCTCTCCACATTTTTTCATTTTTTTAAAAAACAAATTATTTTATTTTATTTATTATTATTATTTTAAATTTTGCTATAGGATGCATGCATGTACCAGAGAGAGACAAACAAAGAGGAAAAGTAACAAAGCAAGCTGTCAGGTCTGGGATTTGAACTGTGGTTGACCATGTGGGAGACTAGTTCCTTAACCACCATGCCATCTTCCTCTTGATGTTTTTCTTAGTTTTAATCTAAACTATATCCTATTATTTTTCAACATGTAGTTAACTGTGGTTGGAGTCCTGGACCAGCAGCTATTAAATTACATGCCGGCCGCATGTGTGTGTGTGTGTGTGTGTGTGCCCAAAATCCAAGAGGAGAATGGAGAAGAAGGGATTGCAGTGTGGCTATGCCCCCTCGGGGGTGATTTCTTGCTTTCTGTCTCTCTAGGAAGTGCACATGTCTTATAGCAAAAAACTCTCCTAAAAAAAAAAAAAAAAAAAGAAAAAAAAAAAGAAAGAAATCTCTAAGAAGGGTTTTTAAAAAGTTCATTAAAAAATGTGTCATGAAAAAACACTATATGTGGACTTCAATTTGTTTTCACCAAGTGTCCTTTTTTTTTTTAAAGAGAGAGAGATTTTTGCTATAGGGCATGTACACCTGCCAGAGAGACAGTCAGAAAGCAAGACATCACTCCCCGCGGGAGATGGCCATGTTCCATTCTCTCTTTGGGATTTTGGGCACACATGTGCACGCACCCAGCGTGAGTTTACACCACTGAGTCTGGGACTTGAACTGCAGTGACTATGTGGGAGTCCAGCAATGTAACCATTACACCATCTGTTGCTCCCATGAATTTATATTTTAAAACCCATCTTTCCACAAACTTTTTGAAGTCCCCTCACAGAGATGGGTTCTAAATAACAAAGAAGTTTTATAGCACCCAAGATCTTAACCTCTGTGTACTACGCAAAAACTCACTCACTTTCTTTTTCCCACACCCTTAAAACATACTCTGTCCCATCTCAACAAGTGAATTTTTTAACCAGCACTCTTCTTATTCTTGCCTGTCAGTTTGCTGGCTTAGGTACTTACAACTACTAATCTGGCATTTATAGTTGTTCTGGCTAACAAGATAATTTTTCAACAAGTCTCTGAGGCACTGCTTGGCACACACTATAATCCTCATGCTAGCATTCATTATGGACTGGACTTGAATCACCTCTATGGCTTTCCAGACTGGATCAACCTACACCAGCTGCCCAATAATTACTCTTCAGCACTTACATTTTAATTTCATTTTAAGTCCAGAAGAGGAAAAAAAACCAGAAAAATGAAAGAAGATAACTGAAACACACGTGTTCACATGCACATACCCTTTATCCACCAGATCCCCAAACTTCCTGCAATAGAACTCACGGTACCATCGCAAGAGGAAAAAAAACCAGAAAAATGAAAGAAGATAACTGAAACACACGTGTTCACATGCACATACCCTTTCTCCACCAGCTCCCCAAACTCACCTTACCATCGCTCATTATTAGATTAGCAACACAGTGGTGCAAATCACAGGAGTACCAAGTATTTTAAGAGTTGTTTCTAAGGACAATGTTCTGCTGATATACAGCTTCACAAATATCTACAACTGGAAATTTCATGAGTGGTGTTCTTTCATTTATTCTTTTTATATTCATTCTCCAACCACTTTCTGAAAGGGTACCATAAGGAAGACACTGTTCTTGATCCAGACATGGACAAAAAATATAAAACACTTGCTACCATGGGCCTTGCACCCTAGTGTAGGAAGACATACAGGAGTCTGTAAGCCAACAATACTTTCAAAGAGCGTAAGTGGTGGAAAAGTAAAACATGGTTAAGAAACATAGAGGGAAGAACCAGAGAGGGCCCTTTTAGAGAAGACGATGCAGTAAGGATTCGCTAAGCCTTCACATTCAAAAGGAAACCTGAATACATTCATTTGAATGACATTTTCCTGTTTCTGCTACAGTGAGAGGAAGAGAACAGTCAACAGCAAGCTGTTTGAGGGTGGTGGCCAATGGGCATTCTTGTAGACTCTAGTTAAGACTCATTCTCTCACACTGTTCTTGTAGAATATGTCATTCAAATGAGTACAGTAGGCAATTTCCAAATTATTACATATCCTGACTTTTAGGGTTCTAGTAGATTAAAACTATAAAGATTTATACATGATATTCAATTGAAAAGCATTTTCTTATTATGCCATAAGCCATACTTATTAAGCCATAGCACTCCAGATAGTGCTATGCTTAGCATTTTTCTGTGCAACTTAGACATCGATTTTGTAAACAGCATGAGTATACCTAAAGTGATTTTTTTAATAGTATGAAAATTAAAGTGTTTTCCAAGATTCTGATTAAGAAAACTACAACCAGAAATAGATTTAATAAGTATACTTACTTGTTAAAATACATAAAAGAAAAAGATATTCTGTGTAAGAAATCACACCTAGAAGAAAAATATTTATAAAATTTTACATATCTTCACATTTATCAAAGTAAAGCATTAAATAGCAATAAACACTATGAATAGAGCTTAGTTTTAAAGCATATGCTAAATATCATTTTAAATGAGATCAAATTATTATTACAAAAATCATAGCAAAAGCAGCAGCAACATTAATTCTACTTTAACTGTTCCTTATGCCTCTACAGAAACCCATACAAAATTCTCATTAATACTCTCAAATATTATGGCAAAAAGGCAAAATTATAATGCTTACTTACAGTTGTAACTTTTAACCAGTGATTTTTTTAATGTGCAAATCTAACAAAAACTAAAAAGGTTGGAAATGATAACAATGTGAAGTGCTTAACTGCCTTTTTAGTAATATTTGAATAAAACATTTAGACATTCTTACTTAGAAGTTTGATTTTCATATTGCCTTTACAAAATAAAACTCTAGTTATAACTTTTTTGTTTTCAAATGATCATGTATTATTTCTGACAAACAATGCTTCCAATGTACTCTAAGTAGTTTTTATTTTAATTAAATGGCTTAATTTCTGTACACTGCATCCTGAGTTTTCTGTAACCCATAATTATGAACTTCTAAAGGGGTTTGTTTGGAGTAAATAAAAATACACATTCTGTTACTTGAACTTGAATGCTTTTGAACTATTAATATCCAAAACTAGAATGAATAGCTCACTTGGTCTTCCAAGTAGATACAGAGGAAACTAAAATCAGGATTAAGCTCACTATACTTATTTAAATATCATAGTTCCGAAGTTTGGTAAAAGGGTATAAAAAAGTCCTTCAATAACTGGACTGTGATCTTTAAAACTGCATTTCACCTGATGCTCTTTGAGGCTACCCTCTTTGTTACAGAACAAAGAGAAGAGGAGTGACTGTCAGGCAGCATTCCCTTCTTCTGTTACACTAGAATATTGTGACCCTCAGACAGGTAGTTCTGGTTGACCACCAAGAACGTTATGGGAGAAAGATTCTGGAAAAGCTGATGAATATAAAGGTACAATACTTAGATTCCATAGGGATCCTTCACAACAAAACCGTGGGAGGAAGAAAAGGGTCTCCAGTCTGGTCTCACTGCCTGCTGCTCTGGCTGACCTGACAGGGCACACAGAGATGTGGGGTGCTACGAAGAACTTGGATGATGTTATGCAGCTGGTCTTTGACAGTTAACTCAAGATCTCGCTCAAATGAAAGATTACAGTTCTGATCATGAAGATCATGAAAGGCCTTTCTCTGAGCCCTACAGGGTCACTGCTATGGCTTCATCCACAGGAAAGAAGACAAAGTAAAAGTGGTCAAGGAAAACACTGCTAGGACAAACTAAACAAATGGAAAATAACCTTTTTTTTTTCTTTTTTTTTGAAGAGATTTTTGCTATAGGGCGCATGCATGCGCTCCCCAGACAGACAGAGACAGACAGAGACAGAAAGCGAGAAATCACCCCCCAGTGGGGATGGCCACGCCGCAAACCCTTTTCCTCCATTCTTCTCTCAGGATCTTGGGCACACACACGCACATGCCCGGCGTGATAAGCCACCGGGTCTGGGACTTGAACTGTGGTCGACTATGTGGGAGTCCAGCGACATAGCCATTACACTAACTGCTGGTCCCTCTAAGACTAACCTTTTAATTGACTTAAAGTTATCAAAAAAATCTAAAAACAAATGCTAAACATACAGTAGAAACAAGATCTTTCGAAACTGAGGATAAGGAAGATGTCAACTAAGTTTCTATAGAAAATTCAATGAAAAAAATTTTAAAGGAAATTTCTTAAAAGCATTATATTTAATTCCTGTATCAGGAAACAACAGAATAGTTGTTTTAATTAAGCCTATGTAATACATCATTCTCTTCTTTCTTTTTTTTTTGTTTTTGCTATGGCATTATTTGCACTTGGTGGAAAAAGAGACAGAGAAAAAGAGAGAGAGAAAAAAGAATCATCCCCTAGGAGGATGGGCACCTACAATCCCTACTCCTCCATTCTTCTCTGATCTTGGGCACGCACGCAGACATGGCTGGCCTGATTTTCAAGCCACTGGGTCCAGGACTCGAACCATAGTCAACCAAATGGGAACCCAGCTTCCTAACCAATATGCTATCTCCTGGCTGCCGTAATGTATCACTTTCATAAACACTGCGTAACAATTAAAAAAACTGTGATATTTTCTTACAGATAAACTTTTTCACTTTAAAATTAATTGCCAATAGCTCTAAAGATCTAGCTTGAAGATTTCTCTGCTGGGACCAGCAGCTGGCGTAATGGCTATGTTACTGGACTGCCACGTAGTCGACCATGGTTCAAGTCCCAGGCCCAGTGCCTTAAAATCACGTCAGGCGCGTGTGTGTGCATGCCCAGGATCCCGAGAGGAGAATGGAGAAGGGACTGTGGCATGGCCACCCGCCAGGTGGGGGTGACTTCTCGCTTTCTGTCTCTCTGTCTTTCTGGTGAGCTCACACACCTATAGTAACCCAAAAAAAAAAAAAAAGATTTCTCTGCCATTTAATGTCTATAAAAAAGCAAAGCTCTCTCTGTACCTTTCTTCTTCACTTCATCTAACGATTCTCAAACTTTCTGGGTGGTAGATTACCTTGCTGATCTGATCAATACATTATAGCTGCACTGACTTACAGGGCAACCATTAGCCACCTGTAGCTATCTACATTTAAAATAATTAAAATAAAACAAAACTTAGAAGTCCCCCACTGACACTAGTCCCATTTCAAGAACTTGATAGCGACACGGAGGCCAGCAGCTACACGCGGGGCGGCACTGAGCACCGCACCACTGAGACAGCGCTGCTCAAGAGCACTGCCTGCAGAGAACACGTGGAAACGAGATCTCCTAAACCCAGGGCTTCCAGACTAAGCTCTCCGCTTGAGTTAAAAAGAAAACAAAAATCCTTTTCCAGGCATTTATTTTTCTCAGATTATATTCAGTCCAGTTTGTATTTTCCTGTGAGGTAAAGGAAAATTTCTGATATTCACTGTACCTACCTGATTCCTGAGCTTTGGATTCTCCTGATCCTACGGGGTCATACCCTAACACCTGAATGCCGGGATTGAAGACAACTTTCAGGAAAATATTTAAAGTTTTTAAAGATACCTTAGCCCTGGTCTCTCGAAGATTTTAAAACTCAAGTTATGAAAAACCTACTAGAAAAGATAAAGTATGTTTTCTTTTTATATTCTAGGCGAACCAGGTGGGAATGATCTGAAATTCTAATTTTTTTGAGCTAATTATTAATTATTTACTTAATTTTATTATTATTTTTTAATTTGCTATAGGGCATGTGTGCCAACCACAAAAAGAAAGTGAGAAAGCAAGCCACCAGGTCTAAGACTTGAACTACAGTCGGCCACGTAGGAATCCAGAACCTTAACCATCATGCCACCTGCTGCCCTTGAAATCTAATTCTACGTAAGTAAAAATATATGAGCTATAATTATTCCTTTAAGTATTTGTCTTTATGCTAGAGTAAGTATAATATTTTCAAACCAGTATTGTTTAAAATTGATAAAAAAAGAAAAGCAGAACTACTTGTATAATTAATATTTTTACTTTATATACTCTTACATTTAAGAATATTAAACAAGTATTTCTAAGAAATACTTTTATTTTTTTAATTGCCACAGTGTGTGCGTGCCAAAGAGAGAGACACAACAAAAAGGGAGGGAAAAGTTATCCCCAATGGGTGTGATCAGGCTGCAATCCCTTTCCCTCCATTTCTCCTTCTGTTGAGATTTGGGGGCACACATTCCATGCACATGGCCATGTTTTTCAGGCTTCCAGGGTTGGGATTCAAACCACAGCTGTCCATGTGGGATTAGGCTCCCTTAACCACTAGGCTACAAGGCCAACCTGAAATTTTTTTTAAGAGGTTTTTGTCCTAGGGCATGTGCACTCACTGGGGTTGGGGAGAGAGAGAGACAGACAGACAGACACAGTGAGAGGGAAAGCAAGAAATCACCCCCCAGGGGGGATGGCCATGCCACAATCCCTTCTCTATTCTTCCCGGATCTTGGGCATGCGCGCACATGTGCTCAGCATGATTTTCAAGTCACCAGGTCCACAGTTGGCCATGTAGAAGTCCAGCAATGTAACCTCTATGCCATCTGCTAGTCTTGAAACTTTTTTTTAAATTTAAGATTAATGAGATTTTATCTATCAACTTCTTACTTCTTTTCTTTTTTTTTTTTTTTTTTTGGAGAGATTTTCACTGTAGGGCACGTGCGCTAGCCAGACAGACAGAGAGAGACATAGAGACAGAAAGCGAGAAATCACCCCCCAGTGGGGATGGTCATGCCGCAATCCCTTCTCCTCCATTCTCCTCTCGGGATCTTGGGCACGCACGCACACGCGCCCGGCGTGAGTTTCAAGCCACCGGGTCCGGGACACGAACCGCGGTCGACTATGTGGGAGTCCAGCGACATAGCCATTACGCTAACTGCTGGTTCCCTTGAGAGATTTTTGCTCTGGGGCATGTGCACAAGGTAGAGAGACAGAAAGCGAGAAATCACCCCCCATGGAGGATGGCCATGGCTTAATCCTTCCTCCTCCACTATCCTCTCAAGATTTTCACCACACACGCACACGTGCCCAGCATAAGTTTCAAGCCACAGGACTTGAACTGTGGTCGACTACATGGGAGTCCAGTGATGTAACCACCAAACCATCTACTAGACCTATGTCTTCTTTTCTTTTTTAACTGCCAGTGGGCATGTGCACTGGCAAGCGAGACAGAGAGACAAAGTAAGAAAGCACCTTCCAAGAGTGTAGTTATGCTGCAATGCCTTTTCTCCCATGCTTCCTTTCCATTGAGATTTTGGGCATGCAGGCACACTTGCCTGTCATGTGTCTCAAGTCACTGGGACCAGAATCCCAACTGGGGGTGCCCATGTGGGGTCTGGCTTCCTTACCACAGGCCAGCTAATTTATCATTTTTTTTCTATAAATATGTACAAAAAGTAAACTGTGGAAGAAAACTGGAAAAAAAACAAAAACAAAAACAAAAAAACCACAAACCCATATCCTTTGATTGCAGGGAAAAATATAAATTAATGAATTAACTTAGATATATAGATATTGGTAACACAGTAACTGGAATGGGAAGATTTTGCTGTGACTGTTCAAAAGAAATGTTCACATGTGGCTGCCAAAAAAACATATCCAATAAGTTTTTCACATTGATTAAACTTTAAGATACCTATAACTCCCTGGAAGCAAAATGGAAGGAAGAAAAATAGACATTTAGTAAAATAGTATCTTTGAAAACACTATCTATGGGTAAATATAATCCATACTTTATCAAAAGTTAAGAAAATATTTTTTTAAAGATCGGTTTATTATAAAAATTTTTGAAAATACAAGTAATACGCACAAAAAATAACATCAAAATTATCCTTAATCACACTACCCCAAAACATTAATACTCAGAAACATTAATATTTGTCTTTTTCTTTTCAGCTTTTCTCTATACATATGCACATATACATAGTTTTAAAACCATTTTAGGCATGGGAAAACATGCATATGTAAATAGCATAAATAATACAGTGCCAATATTAACCTGCACAAGCACTAAAGTTAACTTACCTTTCTCTTTAAGATTCCGAAATAGCTTTGATGAGCCTTTCCAAACTGGTGGTGTTTCTGAGAGCATTTGATTTAATTCCTATCACAGAAGTTATCATAATACTGGTTAATAGGTAAACTGATTACTTACAAAATAGTTTTTAAAAAAAATTCTCTACTTAAAAGTCTTAAAATTTGGCATTATTCACTCTATGTGTGGAACATAAAACCACAAAACCCATTACTCGTCCACAGAACTGATCATAAATAAATGGCCCAGTCCCAGTCTTTATTTTTTTTCTTTTAGTTTTTTTTTTAATTGCCAGAGGGCATATGCACTTGCCAAAAAGAGAGACAGAGAAAGCACCTCCCAGTGGGGTGTGGTCATGCCATGATCCTGTCTCCCCATTTCTCCATCTTGTCAGGACTCAGGGGCATGCATGCACAGGCACCCGGCATGCTTTTCAAGCTACTGTGGCTGGGGTTGGAGCTGCACTGTTGGTCATGTGAAATCTGGCTTCTTTAACCACTAGGCCATGATGCTGGCCCTTTTTCTCTTTCTTTCACAAGAGAGAGACAGAGAGAGAGAGAGACAAAGAGAGAAAGAGAGAGAAACAGAGTCAGGGACTGAAAGGGAGAGAGAGACTGACTTCCAACAAGGCATCCTCCCCCGTTTCAGCAGCCCATGTCATGTCACACATATGCGCTCAGGGAAGTCCTAAGACCTTTCCTGTGTGGGTCCAGCTGCATTACCACTGAGCAACCACCTAGTCCCTGCTGAAACCTTTTTTTCTTTAAAGTTTCTTTTTCTTCTATGAGCAAGAGAGACAAAGGCAGAGACACAGCACCTCCACTGGAATTCTGATGCTGCATTTCACTCTCAATTTCAGTCAGACCTAGATCATGGGCATATGTATGTCTTGTGTAGGCAGGGAGGCCTTGAGGCTCAAACCTGGAACCTTCTCATGTGGGTCAACCTTGCAAAGCACATGTCTTATCTGGAGAAAGTCTATTACTTTGACACTGGTGATCGGGTCAGTCTTTTCTCCTGTGACTTGCAGATCTTTCCATGTATCCTTGAAGCTGTTTCTAGATTAGAAATGTTATCTTGATCTAGTTTTTAAAAATCCTTGTAATACTACAAAACTATTTTAGTTACTATTGCTCTTTCATTAATCTTAATATGTGACAGACTCAACTGTTCTCATCTCAGTATTCCCCCCCCC